GAAATGTCTTTGTACGGGGAATGTCTGTTTTTTCATACATTGAAAGTTATTAGAAGACATAAGTAATTTTAAAACTTGTAGTTGTTTCTAGGTTTTAATTCATAATTATCCAAATAATACAAACACCATCACTTACAATCATGATATTCCTACATGAGTATACAAATTTTATCAAGAATGATTATGTGATAAATTGCACAAGAAACAGTAAACAAGTCCATAATCAAAATAACTCATTCTATTTGTTTTAAGAAATCTACCAATTGCAAGTTTAACTGCTTTAAAAAAAAATAACACTAGGTTTCATTTTTTTAAAATTTTTTTTAGAGATTTATTTTAGAAAGAGTGCATGTGAGGGGGGTGGGGGGCAAGGAGCAGAAGGAGAGGGAGAGAGAAACTCAAGCAGACTCTGTGCTGAGCACAGAGCCAGACATGACACAGGGCTCAATCCCACAAACCATGAGATCAGGACCTAAGCCGAAACCAAGAGTCAGATGATCAACCACTGGGGCACCCTTCATTTTTTAAAGAAATTTAAAACAATCCATTTTTAGTGATCTGATGTTCTATGAGTATAGTAACAAGTTATAACTAATCTTAGCTTTACTCTCTAGTCTAATAAAATCTCTGCAAGAAAACCGTTCAACTATGACACAGGTAACCTAATATGCCTCCACACGTTAGAACAAAATGGGTAATTAAAAAAAAAAAACCTGAGTAATCAAACAGACTAATATCTGAAATAAAAATCTGATAAATATGAATTTTTGCTGGTGTTCCTAACAGCTTATGATACAATCAAATTTAGTTAAGAGGGAAGCACTTGGAAGCCAGATGTTGTTAAAATGTGAAATAAATAAAAGTGCCAATAATATTGTTAAGAAAACAAACAGACATCCTAATCTTATAACCAAAGTGATTCAGTATCTATATAATTTGCCATATACTCAAATAAGGAGAATACAGTAAGCATTTAATAGTGTGGACTTAGCTATAAAAGTAAAATAGCTTCATAGATCATTTCCTACACTCAATGCTTCTGAGTAATGGCCACAATACAAAATAAAATTAAAGATACTATTTAAGGAGACCGATGGATTCTAGGGGTTTTTTAGTTTTAGGAAACCTTTTTTCTCTCGCCTATCTCCCATTAAGTAATAAAATGTGTCACACTGAGTCACAGTTAGGCTAAAATTTCAGGTCTAAAAGTTTGGTCTTATTCCTAATCTGATAGCTTGATAAAGACTTAGAAGAAAGGCAAAGCCACATCTAAAAATTTATCTTTTGCAAATCAAATATGATCAAGGACAGGGATCACTTCATTTGTTTGTTAAATTGATGTATCAACTAACTAATCTCAAGATCTGTAGTTCCTATTTCTTTACCTTTTACACAGAAAAAATTCATCCCCTATTTTTTAGTGACATAAAAGCAATTTTCCTTTATTAAGCCTTCTAAACATCTTCATCAAATACTTATATTTAATGACCAATTTGTTCTAGGAATAAATTATAACAGTAAAAGTTTTTTTTTATTAATTCAGGAAAGAATGATCAGTCATTATTTATACGAAGTAGTCATTCATTTACCAAGCATTTACTGAGTATTAATTGTTCCAAGAACTGTGGAAACAAAAACCAGTAATATATCACTACATGGCCATAACTACCTCAAACAAAGAACATCCATCACAAAGAGATAAGTACCTAAAAAGACTTCAAAATAGAGTTTCAATTTGGCCTTTAGCATTAAGAAATACACATTTTTAATTGGAAATTTCCCACATAATTTTTAATTAAATTTTAAAAGCAGATACAAAATGGAAGGACTATTTTTTAAAAATTTGTAAGGTACTGTAAACCATCTTTCTATTTAGGACCTTGATCATTGTCAGATTTCCCATGCCTAGTGGAAATAGTTGAATCTAATCATTTTAGAGAACATGTTTCAACAAATTCAACAAAAACAGGGCATGCACATTCTCTGAAAGGCAAAAATAAGCATGTATTATTACTAAAACATATTTACCAATTGGAACCCTTATTTTGGAGCCCACATGTATGTATCCTTTGTATGACTAAATAATACCACTACCCTACTATTTTATATGGAAAAATATTTATCACTCAGTAGTTACTCATTTAAGTCCCTAATGGAACAGAGTATAATTTTGGTCATGTACAATAAAGAGAAAAACTGAGACAGAAATGTTAAATTACTTGCCAAAGACCTGAGAAAAACTTAGAGGCAAACCAAAAATAACAGCTGGAACCTAATATCACAGTTAACGGATTAAATGAAGTCAATTTCCCAATGATATTAAAAAATTACACAGGTAAATTCACATATACACATATACAAACAACTGAAAAGGCCAGGAAAATAATTAAGAAGGAATTTTTTTTTACACAGCCTGAATTACATAGAGAAGTGTGGTTTCAAAATCAAAGCTACTAAACAGCAGGTTCTAGTGAGTCACATACATTAGTTCAAAGGAACTTGAGAAAATATAGTATATTCAGTAAAATATTAAATTACCACCCAAGAAGTTTATAAGAGAACCTAATAGACATACATAGTAAGTATAATGTATCTCTGACTAAGCACTGAAATATATCTTTAGGAAAAATAAAGTCTACTTTAAAATGTCTTAAAATTAAAGTTAAAAAATAACAAGTGTACATAATACTTAAAATGCAACTTAATCATGAAAGTGTAGACTTTGGGGGGGGATGATTTGCAAATAATGGTGCCAATTACAAAATAAAAGAGATGTTAGGGGAAATGGCCAATATTAACTTATAAGATTGCCTTTTTAAACACATGAAATTCTACATAAAAAAAAAAAATTCTTCTTTAACCCAAGAGCAATAGTGCTTAATGAATATGTATTTTTTTACAGAAGAATCACATTATAACCATAAAACATTTTATGGCATTGCTTTATAACCAACTTATTTCATCCTCAAAAACATTAATATATAATATTTATAAAACATTTAATTCCCTCTTCATTACCTCTTTAAACCCTTTGCAGAAAATCTGTGATGCTGTCTTCTTAAGGAAAAACCAAGGAAGACTTTGTATATTCATCATTTCTAGAGTAACAAAAATATCTTTACCTTCCAGAAGACTTTCCACAAAATCCCAGACACTGGCATGTTATAATAATGCAATTAGGAATGGAAATTTTATAACAGAAATTAATTAAATAAATGATAGGAAAGGCTAATACTATTTTAGAAATCTCATCAAGAATCGAAGAAAGATTGTACCTACTTTTTTTTAATGACACAATATGATGTGTTGGAGATGCTCTTGTTATAGTTTTAAAATAAAAACTGAACTTATGTCCAAGGTTGTTTGAAATATATGACCAAGCAAATAAAATAAATAAATAGAAACCTGGTAAAAATGTATAGGTCCTACACCAAAACTGTCATGAATCAGCTTCCTATCTTGAAAAAATAAATAAGAGGATTGATATTTACACAGTTTCAAATAATTAAAGAGAAAATAACCAGTTCTCAAAGTTTTTAACTACTGTTTCAAATTGATCATGTCCCACAATGCAACCCTCAGCCCCAAGGGGATTTCCTTTAGATTGAATTTTTGTTCATTATATAAGATTGTTTTATGGGTTTTTTTCTTTTATTTATTTTTATTGTTTTATGTATTCCATCATGTTATGCTTATGGTTGGGATTTCTCTTTTATTTTTACATTGAGAAAACTGTATTGTGGTCAGAATTATTCATGTGTATCTTCTGATACAGGAACTACTCTATCCTAAATTTAAATGAATTTCATCTCCAGGAGAGCTCTCATGACATTCTATATGTACTACTTCAGAAAACACTGCCCAAACATGATAGACCTTCTTAACTTTGTGGAAGCACTTTGTATTTCTTCACTGAAATTTTTTATTTTCTCCTTATTTTCTTTAATGATAGTATGAAAAACTCATAAAATTTAAAACTGCATGCCTTTATTTGATGAATTAAAACAAACAGAAATTAGTTTTTAATGACAAATAAGTGACATCATTTTGGAAGCAAATATTTAACATCATTTAACAGTGCTAATATATGTTTTAACAACTCACTCTTATTGAAACATTTAATTTCTGTGCCCTCAGTTAATTTCACGGCTTTATCAAAAGACAATTTTTGAAAGAAATCAGAAATAGTTTCCTTAACATACTAAAAGACTATGTGTCACTGTCCTTTGAAAGAATGATACTACTTTTAAATTAGATCTCCTTTTGCTGCTCACCCACTTCACCCACTCTCCATCTCACCCAGGGCTTTGAATAATTTCTTCATCTCAGCAAAAGAGGCAAAGGCTAAAATTAGCAGTCTCTGGACCCTCAGGAATAGCCACTGTGCAACATCAGCTGAGATTCCTGATTAGCATTATGTCTGATAAAAAAAAAAAAGTACCAAAGCAAAACAAAGAAACAAAGAAGAAAACAAAACAAAAAAACAAAATCTATCTAGGCCATCTTTTCACCTTTCTTTATTTCATGAGAGAAGCATTTAACACATTCGTTTTGATAAATGGTAAGGAAGTGCTAATGAAGTTCTTGTCATTAAAAAAGAATCCGTCTTATCATTATTACTAATAAACTTCAACTTTTATAATATGTAACAAGTTAGTAATTGTATTGTTTTATGAAATAAAATAATAATCTTTGTACAAAGATCAAATTATTTTTGTGGCCTCTACATACAGAGCATTACCAACTGCTCTTGTCAAGAGAAAATTGTTTCTTGTGTTCAAAATCCAGATTATCACTCTTAATTACACCTAAAGCCAGAGAATAACCATGTGTGGCAGGTTAATAAGTGGATGAAATCTGTTTCTGAACTACTATTTCCACTAAATAAGATTTTAAGAAAGGTCCTATACTGTGATTTTTCCCCCATTATATCTGTGATGAGAAAATGATGAAGATGGAACCTTAATCCCCTAAAGACAAAGTCTCAGCATGCAATTTACCTGACAAGATTTTCATTGTCTCCAGTTCCCTTGCAAGTTGCACATTCAGTTCGCAAATCTTCAGCCTTAGGCTTCTTTTGTAACACAGACTGCCTTTGCCTTCTCTCTCTAGGAATTCTTTCCTGCCATACAAAGGAAAAAAACCAAAACATAAAACAAAATCAGGATATGAGGAAAAAAGAAGTAATTTAAGCAAGAAAGTTTCTCAAAGTTTAGACTGTGTAAAAAATGCTTAACTTATTCCAACCTCATGTTTTTCTTCCTCAGGAATGAAGCTTCGCTTTCGTCCTCTGGTTCTCTAAGAAAAAAAAATTCCACAAAATATCTAATGTGTAATTAATAATAAAAATAAATATTCTGTTAAATGTTACTGCTTAACTTAAGCACTTAGAAAATTAGTATTTCTAATTAATACTGTATTGCTCTAGTGCACTATGTTACAATTTATGTCACAAGAGATAAAAACATGACAAATTAAATGTACTTTATAAGCGCTTTACTTTTAAATTACACAACTATCCGACAGGAAAAATAAGTTTTTCAAAATCAACTGGAATGACTTCTCAACACTTCACACATGTCACACAATTATGATTTATCCAGAGCATTTAAACTTTCATAACTTATATGACTTCTATAGCCAAAATACTAAACCTGGACTCAGACTCCTTCTAGTACTCCTGTGTGTAGAGTATATACATGTTTGTATAACATAACCAATTTTTTTTTCATAACCAATCAATTTTTAACTGCCAGCAAAAAGTGGGAGTAAAAGATCTCAGATGTCCCCAAATCCTAAATGAAATAAAACTAAAAATCGGGTTCCACGCTGGGCATGGAGCCTACTTAAAAAAAAAAAAGAAAAAAAAACAAAAAAAAAAGTCTAAAACATGGTATAAACGACTTATTTTACACTATTTCGTTGAAATTTTACATCCTATATATCAGAATACATTTACCATTAGAATGATGACATCTAAATGTTAAAAGTAATAAAAATACAATAGTATTTGCATACAGTATGTTCAAAATCTCCACCCATATCGCACAGCCTCTGTAGATTTATAATCCCCGTGTGCAGACCATAGTTCTTTAGAGACTGAAAGAGAAAGGAGGCACCATTCCCACAAATTCTTCTGTCTGACTGCTAAGATCAAGGAACATTACCAAATAATCCTAAACAGAACTGATGTCCAGTACAAGTACCCTGATGTTTTCCTAAATTTCTGTCATTTCAACTCTTCATAATATTGACTCTCTTATTTAATACCATGGCTAATTGCATACTGCTTAATCTGCCCAAAGATAACCAAGAGTTGACTAAATTAGTCATTCAAAAGAAGTAATTTTATAAACTATGTCTTCATTTACATATGTATTGCTAATCAGTATGTTCTAATTACATTATGGAATAAGTTAGAAAAAGCAAGACTATATCCAGGAAAAGGCTTTAAATGCAGGCCCTACATATGTCTATTCTTACTTCTAAAAAACAACACTGAGCCTTGCTCCTCAAAATATCAATCATAGCTCATAAGCACTGTCATGCCCTGGGAGCTTGTCAGAAACATCGAAGCTCATGCTCACCTCACCAAACTGAATTAGAATCTGCCTTTTAATAAGATCTGCAAGTAAATTATACACACATTAAAGTCTGAGAACATCAGTGTAGAAGAGTCTTTAATACTGACAACGCTTATCCAAGTTCTACCTAAAACCTTGAGGCTAGCTCTTTACATATTCCTTTCCTCTCTGTGACATTCCTGTCCTTTATGCTTCAACTTCTGTCCTCTGACACAAATCATCATAAAATTGGTAAGAACCATGCCATATTCATCATTCTAGACCCAACTAATCTTAATATGTATTACATAAAAGCTCAATAAATTTATTTTAATAAAATAAATAGTAAGTGGTTAGATTAGAACTCATAAATAATTATACTAGAGAATGCAAATGATAAAAGAGTCGACAAAATGGATAAATTACTATTCCCTTTGCCAGCAATCTATTTTTCAATTTGCATAAATTTATGCATAAAGGCATTTCAATCAGGTGATCCAAATGACCGATATCAAAGGGAAAATATTCACGGCATCCGGCTGGCCCAGTTGGAAGAGCATGTGACTCTTGATCTCATGGTCATTAGTTCGCCCCCATGTTGGGTGCAGAGGTTAAACAAATAAAACTTAATAAAAAAAAGGAGGGAATATTGAAATGACTCATTTCAGTTCTATAAACATCTAAGAATGCTCAAAAGGCCTCACACATTTTCATATTTCTCTTCATTCAACCCATCTTTAGGTAATGAAGTAGCAATTCAGTTTACTACTTTAGTAGTAAACTACTATTACTAGTTGGGTGTTTTTTTTTTTCACAGAGGTCACCTACTACTAGTTTTTTTAAATTATCTAACCATTGAATTAATTTTTGAAGTACATATATATTAATTTTGAACTGTATCTACTAGCAAAGTACTACTAATTTTTGAATCATCAATCATTGAATTAATTTTTGAAATAGATGTGAATGCTCTAAGTTCATGTTTTTAATTCTTTTGAAGATATACAATAACTTACCATTTCTTTATTGGGGGGGAGGAAGAAGGAGAGAGGGAGGGAGAGAGGAGGGACAGAGGAAGAAGGAGAATCTTAATCTTAAGCAGGCACCATGCCTAGCAAGGAGCCTGATGCGGGGTTCAATTTCACAACCCTGAGATCATAACCTGAGCTGAAATCAAGAGTCAGATGCTTAACTGACTGAGCCACTCAGGCGCCCCAATAATCTACCATTTCTTATTAATACTTTAAACCTTTAAACCTCTGGTATGATTCCATCAATTCGAAGTTTCTAACATCTATACTGAAATTAGTATCATACAGCATAATGCCAATGAGTGACAATGACAGTTACATTTCTCTATAAATTTCTTCTATGTATATGTCTTATTAAAGTGCTATTTTTAAAGTGAATATATTTATAATTATCTACAACAGTCATTTTAAATTAAGTACACTTATTATCAAATGATAATCACTGATGTATTCCTGTGGTAATTTTAAATGAGTGAACAATTTCCAGCCAGAAAAACAGAAGTGTTATAAGCAATATGAAATTATAGCATCTTGGAGTTCTGAAAAAGCAGTCCAACGAAGTGACCTAATTATCACACAGCTGGTAACTGACAGAAGTAAACTGCAAACCCAGGTATCTCAACTCTGAATTCAGTGATTTTTCTTGCCTGCCAAATCCAAGGTTAATAGTATAATCCAAGTAGAGATGAGTAAAATTATTACGAGAAAGCAAATCTCTTATTCTGACTCGAATACTTAAATAAACTATAACACTGTGATGCCTAAAGGAAGAATTCTTCTATTCTGAAACAAGTAGAGACTTTTACCCAATGAAGAAGAGACCTCAATACCTTAAACTGACACTATATTCTACCAGTCTGGTACTTTATACAGTACAATGACTAACATGATCCATTACCAAAGTCAATTACAGCAAGCATCTTCTTTGGCATTTATCATACCAGTAATATTTCCAAAGGAAAAAAGAAAAGAAAAGAAAAAGAGGATTTAATCCAAACACAACTTTTCATAAATACCAAGTCCTCCAATCAGGACAATACTAACAGTTCTGGGTTTTCTTTCCTTTTTTTTTTTTCTTCCTAGTTTTAATAAAGTGGCAGCAACTGTAAGTATGAGAATTCATGACTGCCTACAATCACAATAGACAAGATACCTTAAACATGGTGTCCCTGAAAGAATCAGAAAATGTTAGGAGGAATTAAAAGAAGGAAGAAATGATGCAAAAAGGAATAACAAAAACATTTGGCTCATCCAACAAAATTCAATTATCCAAAAGCTTGACCCATCTTAGATATATAGAAGTATTCATAACTGGGTGGTCATTTCATGATATACATTGAGGCTGACACTATTTTAGAAGCAAAAACAAAAAAAATAAAGCAGCAGGGTAAAAATAGCATGTGGAAAAAGGAAGAATTTTATTTATCAAATATATGCTTTAGAACTTAACACAGATGTATTACCTCTAAGTTCCAAATGACTAAGGGTTCAATTGCAAATTGTGCTTTCTTTTGTAATTATTAAGGTATTAAGAGTGAATGAAAGTTTGAAACTCGCTCCAAAACTTGACATATTTCTATTTTTTTCTGTGTTATTTTGTAAGAATTTTATTTGCCTAAGGAACAAGAACAATCTGAAACTGCATAGATCACCTGGCTCTTTATCTGCGTATGGTACATTTTCTTGAAAATAGAAGGTGATAAAATATCCACAAAGACAGTAACATGGTATTACAGACAATGTATATAAGTTAAAAAGGAATAAAGTATTTAGCTATCAAGCATCATTTTAATAGTTTATTCATCGGAAACAAATAATTAAATGTTTCAATAACTTTACTCATTTGGACTAGAAAACCTGTAACAAATTTTAATTAATTCTTTAGCACTGGGATTATTTTAATTTATGATGAAGTTAGATGCATGATGATTTTCCCAAGGTTAGACTGATTCATTTGACAAATGAACTAAATTTAAAACTAAAAAACAGTGCCTCAACATCTTTGATATCACTAAGATGGGTTTCACATATTCATTGTGTACTCTTTTCTCTAAATTTAAAATGGACCTTTTTTATGACAGTTAATAAATAAGCTGTATGTGGTTACAAGAAACATAAGGAATGCCTCCCTATGTAATTTCTATCCAAAAAGACAAATGTTTCTTAATGAACAAAATTCCAAATTCAATGTTAATTAGGACAATTAGGTCAAACCTTGAAAACCTCTGTCAAGCTAAAATTCAGATTTATGCCGAGGAATAAATGCCAACAGCTGTGTGGCAGTTATACAAAAATCCTTCAACATAATTTATTTTTAATTTTTCAACATAAATTTATATAAAATTCCTTAAAAAAACCAAGTATATGTTTTTCAATTACAAAACAATATATTGAACACAGTCATATATTAAAACTCATAAAATATTTAAAATAAAATGTACATATAAACAAGGTATGAATAAAGCACCATCTGTTTCTATTGGCTACTGGCATATAACAGATGGAATGGTGATCACCAAAAGTGATTGTTTTCCTTTCTTGTCAATTTAATTTATACTAACAGGGTTAGGAAAATATGTTGAAGAATAAAATCATGACCAATTTTTCTTAACACTTTAAATTAAAATAACCACAAACCTAAAAGTAGAAAACAAATTATACATTTTATAAATTAATAAATATTCCTATAAAACCCTTCTCAAGA